GGTTCTTTTTAGTTTCTAGTGTAAACGCAATCTATTGTTTCCATTTTTCTCGTTCTATTCTAATTAAAGACATGCCAACTTAATTTTGATGATTCTATTGAATTGATGTCTTAAGGAAACTTTATTTTCATGATTGAACTAAATTAATGTATCAAAGAATATAAAAATTGGTAAAAATGGGGGTCCATAGCTCAGTGGTAGAGCATTTGACCGCAGATCAAGAGGTCACCAGTTTGAACTTGGTTGGGCCCTAATCTCAACATTTTCCTATTTTTAAACATTTTTTCGTGTATATGGAATCTATTGTTTCCATTTTTTGGTTATTTTCAGTTTCTAGTGTAAACGCAATCTATTGTTTCCAATTTTCACGGTCTATTCTAATTAAAGACATGACAACTTCATTTTGATGATTCTATTGAATTGATGTCTTAAGGAAACTTTATTTTCATGATTGAACTGAATTAATTTATCAAAGAAAATAAAAATTTGTAAAAATGGTGGTCCAAAGCTCAGTGCTAGAGCATTTGACTGCAGATCAAGAGGTCACCAGTTTGAACCTGGTTGAGCCCTAAACTCAACATTTTCATATTTTTAAACGTTTTTCCGTGTAAATGCAATCTATTGTCTCCATTTTTTGGTTATTTTCAGTTTCTTGTGTAAACGCAATCTATTGTTTCCATTTTTCACGGTCTATTCTAATTAAAGACATGCCAACTTTTTTTTTTTGCATGCAAACACATGCCAACTTAATTTTTATGATTCTATTGAATTGATGTCTTAAGGAAACTTTATTTTCATGATTGAACTGAATTAATGTATCAAAGAAAATAAAAATTGGTAAAAATGGGGGTCCATAGCTCAATGGTAGAGCGTTTGACTGCAGATCAAGAGGTCACCAGTTTGAACCTGGTTGTGCCCTAATCTCAACATTTTCCTATTTTTAAACGGTTTTTCGTGTAAATATAATCTATTGTTTCCATTTTTTGGTTATTTTCAGTTTCTTGTGTAAATGCAATCTATTGTTTTCATTTTTCACGGTCTATTCTAATTAAAGACATGCCAACTTCATTTTGATGATTCTATTGAATTGCTGTCTTAAGGAAACTTTATTTTCATGATTGAACTGAATTAATGTATCAAAGAAAATAAAAATTGGTAAAAATGGGGGTCCATAGCTCAGTGGTAGAGCATTTGACTGCAGATCAAGAGGTCACCAGTTTGAACTTGGTTGGGCCTTAATCTCAACATTCTCCTATTTTTAAACATTTTTTCGTGTAAATGGAATCTATTGTTTCCATTTTTTGGTTATTTTCAGTTTCTAGTGTAAACGCAATCTAAGAAAATAAAAATTGGTAAAAATGGGGGTCCATAGCTCAGTGGTAGAGCATTTGATTGCAGATCAAGAGGTCACCAGTTTGAACCTGGTTGAGCCCTAAACTCAACATTTTCATATTTTTAAACGTTTTTTCGTGTAAATGCAATCTATTGTCTCCATTTTTTGGTTATTTTCAGTTTCTAGTGTAAACGCAATCTATTGTTTCCATTTTTCACGGTCTATTCTAATTAAAGACATGCCAACTTAATTTTGATGATTCTATTGAATTGATGTCTTAAGGAAACTTTATTTTCATGATTGAACTGAATTAATGTATCAAAGAAAAAAAAAATTGGTAAAAATGGGGATCCATAGCTCAGTGGTAGAGCATTTGACTGCAGATCAAGAGGTCACCAGTTCGAACCTGGTTGTGCCCTAATCTCAACATTTTCCTATTTTTAAACGGTTTTTCGTGTAAATATAATCTATTGTTTCCATTTTTTGGTTATTTTCAGTTTCTAGTGTAAACGCAATCTATTGTTTTCATTTTTCACGGTCTATTCTAATTAAAGACAAGCCAACTTCATTTTGATGATTCTATTGAATTGATGTCTTAAGGAAACTTTATTTTCATGATTGAACCTAATTAATGTATCAAAGAAAATAAAAATTGTTTAAAATGGGGGTCCATAGCTCAGTGGTAAAGCATTTGATTGCAAATCAAGAGGTCACCAGTTCGAACCTGGTTGGGCCTTAATCTCAACATTTTCCTTTTTTGAAACGTTTTTTTGTGTAAATGCAATCTATTGTGTCCATTTTTGGTTCTTTTCAGTTTCTAGTGTAAACGCAATCTATTGTTTCCATTTTTCACGGTTTATTCTAATTAGAGACATTCCAACTTAATTTTGATTATTCTATTGAATTGATGTCTTAAGGAAACATTATTTTCGTGATTTAACTGAATAAATGTATAAAAGAAAATGAAAATTGGAAGAAATGGGGGTCCATAGCTCAATGGTAGAGCATTTGATTGCAGATCAAGAGGTCACCAGGTTGGGCCCTAATCTCAACATTTTCCGTTTTTTAAACGTTTTTTCGTGTAAATTCAATCTATTTTCTCCATTTTTTGGTTCTTTTTAGTTTTTAGTGTAAACGCAATCTATTGTTTCCATTTTTCACGTTCTATTCTAATTAAAGACATGCACACTTAATTTTGATGATTCTATTGAATTGATGTCTTAAAGAAACTTTATTTTCATGATTGAACTGAATTAATGTATCAAAGAAAATAAAAATTTGTAAAAATGGGGGTCCATAGCTCAGTGGTAGAGAATTCGATTGCAGATCAAGAGGTCACCAGTTCGAACCTGGTTGGGCACTAATCTCAACATTTTCCTATTTTTAAACGTTTTTTCGTGTAAATGCAATATATTGTTTCCATTTTTTGGTTATTTTCAGTTTCTAGTGTAAACGCAATCTATTGTTTCCAATTTTCACGGTCTATTCTAATTAAAGACATGCCATATATTGTTTCCATTTTTTGGTTATTTTCAGTTTCTAGTGTAAACGCAATCTATTGTTTCCAATTTTCACGGTCTATTCTAATTAAAGACATGACAACTTCATTTTGATGATTCTATTGAATTGATGTCTTAAGGAAACTTTATTTTCATGATTGAACTGAATTAATTTATCAAAGAAAATAAAAATTTGTAAAAATGGGGGTCCAAAGCTCAGTGCTAGAGCATTTGACTGCATATCAAGAGGTCACCAGTTCGAACCTGGTTGGGCCCTAATCTCAACATTTTCTTTTTTTGAAACGTTTTTTCGTGTAAATGCAATCAATTGTCTCCATTTTTTGGTTCTTTTTAGTTTCTAGTGTAAACGCAATCTATTGTTTCCATTTTTCTCGTTCTATTCTAATTAAAGACATGCCAACTTAATTTTGATGATTCTATTGAATTGATGTCTTAAGGAAACTTTATTTTCATGATTGAACTAAATTAATGTATCAAAGAATATAAAAATTGGTAAAAATGGGGGTCCATAGCTCAGTGGTAGAGCATTTGACCGCAGATCAAGAGGTCACCAGTTTGAACTTGGTTAGGCCCTAATCTCAACATTTTCCTATTTTTAAACATTTTTTCGTGTAAATGGAATCTATTGTTTCCATTTTTTGGTTATTTTCAGTTTCTAGTGTAAACGCAATCTATTGTTTCAATTTTTCACGGTCTATTCTAATTAAAGACATGCCAACTTCATTTTGATGATTCTATTGAATTGATGACTTTGGGAAACTTTATTTTCATGATTGAATTGAATTAATGTATCAAAGAAAATAAAAATTGGTCAAAATGGGGGTCCATAGCTCAGTGGTAGAGCATTTGACTGCAGATCAAGAGGTCACCAGTTTGAACCTGGTTGAGCCCTAAACTCAACATTTTCATATTTTTAAACGTTTTTCCGTGTAAATGCAATCTATTGTCTCCATTTTTTGGTTATTTTCAGTTTCTTGTGTAAACGCAATCTATTGTTTCCATTTTTCACGGTCTATTCTAATTAAAGACATGCCAACTTTTTTTTTTTTTGCATGCAAAGACATGCCAACTTAATTTTGATGATTCTATTGAATTGATGTCTTAAGGAAACTTTATTTTCATGATTGAACTGAATTAATGTATCAAAGAAAATAAAAATTGGTAAAAATGGGGGTCCATAGCTCAATGGTAGAGCGTTTGACTGCAGATCAAGAGGTCACCAGTTCGAACCTGGTTGTGCCCTAATCTCAACATTTTCCTATTTTTAAACGGTTTTTCGTGTAAATATAATCTATTGTTTCCATTTTTTGGTTATTTTCAGTTTCTAGTGTAAACGCAATCTATTGTTTTCATTTTTCACGGTCTATTCTAATTAAAGATATGCCAACTTCATTTTGATGATTCTATTGAATTGCTGTCTTAAGGAAACTTTATTTTCATGATTGAACTGAATTAATGTATCAAAGAAAATAAAAATTGGTAAAAATGGGGGTCCATAGCTCAGTGGTAGAGCATTTGACTGCAGATCAAGAGGTCACCAGTTTGAACTTGGTTGGGCCCTAATCTCAACATTTTCCTATTTTTAAACATTTTTTCGTGTAAATGAAATCTATTGTTTCCATTTTTTGGTTATTTTCAGTTTCTAGTGTAAACGCAATCTATTGTTTCCATTTTTCACGGTATATTCTAATTAAACACATGCCAACTTCATTTTGATGATTCTATTGAATTGATGACTTTAGGAAACTTTATTTTCATGATTGAATTGAATTAATGTATCAAAGAAAATAAAAATTTGTAAAAATGGGGGTCCAAAGCTCAGTGGTAGAGCATTTGACTTGCAGATCAAGAGAGAAGATGAATTGAGAGAAGATGAAGAAAGCTTCATTGTTATTCACGTCAGAATGAAGAAAGGAGTTAAAAAAAAAAAAAAAAAGGTTACACTGGGAAAGGGAAACTGCCACTTTAATATCATAGTGACAGTTGTAACAAACAGAATAATGAAAATACAAATCTACCCTTCTATACTTTCCTTTCTTCCTCCAATATATATACAGTATGGACCGCATTAATATTCTATTGTTGAAGTCCAAATAGTTATAATAAGATGGCTAAATCCAAACCGTAAACCCAAATTCATACACAAATCAACCACCAAAATTGTAGAGAGTCCTACCTTTCCTTTTCATAGCATAAACCACATTCATGGCGCTAACCGTCTTCCTTCGTGCATGCTCGATGTAAGTCACGGCATCACAAATCACATTTTTCAGGAATATCTTGAGCACTACACGGGTTTCCTCGTAGATGAGGCCACTAATCATGGTATAACAAGTGGCAAATAATCACTAGTTAATCATTAACATCGATCTCGGTTGGGCCCTAATCTTAACATTTTTCCTTTTCAAACGTTTTTTGGCATTAGGTTCTTTCCAGTTTCCAATGTAAACACAATCTAAGGTTATTTCAATTTTCCACGGTCAACCTAATTAAAGACGTGCTAACTTCATTTTGATGATTCTGATGTTGAACTAGTGTCTCAAAGAAAATAAAAATTTATAAAAATAGGAGGCAACAAATATGACAATTGGATACCAGCCTAATTAAAGACATGCCAGCTTCATTTCAATGATACAGATGTTGAATAATGTCTCAAAGAAAATAAAATTTGGTAAAAATGGGAGGCAACAAATATGACAATGGGAGATAAATGCATTAAGAATTCAGAAAGTAAAACATATATGGTATGAACCGCATTACTATTCTATTGTTGAAGCTGAAATAGATATAACAAGACGGCTAAATTTAAACCCTAAACCCAGATTCATACACAAATCAACCACTAAAATCGTAGAGAGTCCTACCTTGCCTCTTCATAGCATAAATCACATCCATGGTGGTAACCGTCTTCCTCTGTGCATGTTCTGTGTATGTCACGGCATCACGAATCACATTTTCTATAAATATCTTGAGCAATCCACAGGTTTCCTCGTAGATGAGGCCGCTAATCCTCTTCACGCTGCCTCTTCCCGCTAGCCTCCAAATCACCGGCATGGTGATGCCTTGAATGTTGTCCTGAAGCACCTTCTAGTGACGCTTAACGCCGCCTATTCCCAAACCCTTGCCCCCTTTCCACAATCATACATGATTGAACACAGGAGAATTTAGTGAATTAAATTCCTTGATTTGGAGCTTTATCCCTAGCTTGAATGGAAGAAACAGGCAAGGATTTGCTGATTATATATTGGTTTGAATTGGTGGGCGGGTTGAAAATTGGCGGTCGAATTTGAACTTTGATAAAACTTTGGGAATTGCGTTTTCGGGAGATTCTTTTAATGAAATTTAGTGTCGGCATTGACCGTTGATAAGGTTCAGATTGACGGCTTAAATGTGACTATCACGCGGATTGATGACATGGCATGGACATAGTAAATAGATTATGGGCTTCATCCCAAAATTAAGATCTCTATTTTGGGTTATATAGAAATTAGAACAATGTACGAACATCCCAATAGGATGGAATGACCCGGTTGCTAGAAAATGGAAAATTATAGTATAAGCCATATACACACACATTAATTTTGCACACGTATTGCACGATTGATTTAATGCTCAATATTTATATTTAAATACATAATATGTTAATTATAACTTATATATAATTTATTAATTGAATGTATATAATATATTAAGTACATTTAATCTGAATGTGGTTTTAAATCATGGTATAACAAATGGTAAATAGTCACCGGTTAATCATTCAACAGTTATTTCGACAAATCTTAGACTCAGGCCACCTAAGAAATTACGAAAAATTAGGAAATTCGACGCCTGGCCGGTGTTTCTCCGTCGGGAGTGGAGCCGTAACTGGCCGTTCCTTGTCGGTTTCGCCATCACTGGCACCGTCATCACCAAAATGTCACTCGGCCTCACTGGTCCGTACCATTTCCTTTACGCAGACTTTTATCTATCTATACAACATTGCTTGATCTTTTTCTTTTTTTTTTTCTGATTGTTTTTCTGCTTGATGGTTCTCAGAGGAGGACGCAAAGAACTCTAAATTCGCTCAGAGGCACAAACAGTGAGTATTTTTACAGATTTTTCTGTATTTGTTTTTGTGTGCTAAACCGAATACCCTACCTTAATGAAATTGAAATCTGGAACTCTAGATCTCCCTGTTATGTTTTCTGCAATTGATTCGATTTGTCTTTCCATAGTGATTGGTTTTCTAATGTGATAATGATTTCTCTTGCTGGCCGTTTTAACCTCGTATGCCTGTCACTCTGTTCTAGGTACTGTCCTAGGGCACTCTAGTTCATGAAAAAGGTTGTAGCTTTGCTATCAATTTTCTCAGCTAAACAAAATAGTACTCCGTAGTTTACAATGTAAATGTTATAACAGATAGTAAGTTCTGTTTTGTATGTCTCATATGTACTGGAAGATGATAGATGTTGCATATAAATAGAACAGCTTCATTACTGTGGATGTGGGCACATTGTCAAACCACGTAAAATCTTGTATTCTTTACTTTCTGCCATTGTTTTCGATTTCTGTTCTTGTTTATCTCAACAAGTTCTAATATGGAGTAGTTTGAGTGCTGCTTGCTTAGAATTTCCAGAATTTGATGCACCCTTTAGCTTATAAGATGATTGAAGACTTGTCATTGATAATGTAATCACAGTTGTAACACCTGTATCGCCAATTCTTCATCCTCTACAGAAGTAACACACTTTGCTTGGAAAACTTTTTAACTGTTTTTGTTTCAAAGCTGATGAATCTTACCAAATTAGTCCTTTAATTTAAGAATGATTTCTGAAAATCTTATCATGGTTGGACCTGCTTGTGATTTTCATCTTATGCTTGAGGTTGAAACTTGGGATGGTGTCATAAATTTTCGTCTTTTTAGTGATTGACCATAATCCAACTTCTTTATCAGGTCCCGCAAATTTTGGCTCAATATCCTTTCTTTTCTTGCAGTTGAGTTGAGGCTATGCACAAGTGCTGGATGAAGGCTTCTGTTCCAATAGCACTTCCATTTCCTACTGTTCCGGTTTTCTTTTGTTTCTACAAGTCTCAGATAGCTTATAGATTGCATAAAGTGGCCATTTAATCTTTTTGGTGGCCAAACTTATAATTTCTCTGCTGATTTGACTGTGAGAGGTTTGAAAACTCTCAACTATTTTGATTGAAATGGAGTAAGATTGTTTAGCACATATAATGAGCCTCGGTTGTTCAAATATCTCTTCAGATGACAACGGTTTTATTGTCCACACATTATACATATGTTTCAACTTCCCTCAAAGGAATGCTGCAGAAATGCAGTTGGTTTGTTGGAAATGTTCTTATGTTCAAAGCATGTCCTTCAAAGGTAATAAGGTATAATGTTGTTCTCCATTTTAATTTAGGGCACAGAGCCAACTGTTTTGACAAGTTTTTAGAACACAAAATGAAATAATGGAAGAGAAGTTGTGTAATTCAGTCTGATTGTGTTGAAATCATTTTCTCCTTTTTAGTGCTTCAATTGGGGTGTGGTGAAGACATCATTTTGAAATGTAATTCTCAACCATGTTGGTATAATAACCCGCAAACAATAAAAGAGAAGTTTTGACTCTGTGGCAGGATCAATTGAGAGGATATTGACAAGATTTAAACTCGGCCACCTATTTTACGATAGCTTATAACATATTTCTTAAACATGCCATCACTATCCAATGGTGTATAATAGTTTGCAAATTACACAGAACAAAGTGTATAAATCTCACTTATGCATAATATCCTGCAAATCACAAAGAAAATGTTTGATCTTATGTAACTGGCTCAACTGAGAATCAAACTTGTAACCTAATATAAGAATCATGTTCCACACACTAGGCCACCCATTTTGGGAACTGGAGGCTTTGACCTCAATGTCTTGATGATTTTGAACTAAAACTGCAGACATCATGGGACTGTTTAGTTGATGAGTTGGGACAAGATAATTCAATTCAAACTGAAACCTGTTACAGAGATACAATAAGAATAGGTTCCTAAACTATAGGTTATAGAATAATACAACACATAATAAATATAAAATACAAGAGAGAGAGGATGACTCTGGCTAAACTAATACCAGATGAGTTGGGAAAAGATAATTCAATTCAAACTCAAACCTATTACAGAGATATAAAATATAAAATACAAGCTTATACTAATATAGTTAACACATGCAGGAACATCATTATGAATGGAAAATATTTGTGTATATATTAATATGAGTTAATACCCAATATAGTCATTGATTATAGTGGTTTTAATCAATTTAGTTCTAAATTAAATGATTTTTTGTGCTTAATTTAGTCATCGACTTTGATGGTGTTACACAATTTAATCTTATGTTAAAATTTTTATTAGTTGGCTGTTAGAAATAGGGTCCTAATAGTAATTTAACATCCTTATTCTATTTGGGATGATTAATTATTCTTCCCCTTACTAAGCTCCCCACGGAATGGAGATCTTCATCCCCAAATCAACTTCAACTCTAAATATATAAATATCTGCCTACCATTGCTCGGTCACTCTATCGTCGTCTACTCCTTGCGTCACTTCCGGCCAACAAGTTACTTCAAACTTTCAATGACTTCCATAATTCAATAATTTTATATCTATGAATATATTTGTACGAACCTTAATTAAGGAAGGGCTTAAGGAAGGAAGGCTAGGCAAATATTTATTTACTTCGTATTTATTTATTTAGGGTTGAAGTTAATTTGGGTATGAAGATTTGTATTTTTGTGTGGATCTTAATAAGGGGAAGAAGAATGAATCATCTCAAATGGGATAAAGGATGAGAAATTATCATTATGACTTTATTTCTAACCGTCAATTAATAGATTTTTAACGAAGTACTAAATTGTGTAAAATCATCAAAGTCAATGATTAAATTAAGCACAAAAAGTCATTTAAGACTAAATTGAGTAAAATCACTATAATTGAGTACTATGATTATGGTCGCAATTGTTGATTCATTTATGATAGCTAAGCAATTAGATTTTGGAAAGTACGTAAATCTCCCGCAACTCCCTTTCTCTCTTCTTTCTTTCTAGCTTTCTTTGCTTTAAAAATTTTGAAATATTCAAACGAGGTTATGATATGATTGATGAGTTGTACTTACTTGATTTATGTAGGATTTTTGGAGCAGTGGTTATTATTGTTGGGTTATACCTAATGATATGGGGCAAAAATAAAGACATGTCTTCTTCAAAATCAAGCAAGGATAATAACATCGCGTTATCTAACAAGAAGAAATTAATATTGACAAAATCTTCAACTGGGGAGAAGATAGATGATACTATTAAAATTAGAACAGTTAACGATAAAGTCTAATATTTAATCCATATTAAATGTGTTAAAAACAATTTGTCTAGTGTATTTCCAATTATATATATTCTTATTTTCTCCTAACCAAACAAGCTCTCAAACTCAAGCCAAAAATTATATATAACTTTGTTCAAGTTGATGTTGTTTTCCATTCAAATTAGGTGTGAATCAAAAGATTAGTTTTTTTTTTTTTTTTTTGGGTGCATACCGCATTCGGATTCAACCAACATCGCGCTCATTATGATTGAATCACAGTTGTATTAACAGTCTACTTACCAATTGTCCAAATTGTTATGTGTTTTTTTTAGAGTTAATTGGTAAGTAGACTTTTAAAAAAAAATAAAAATTTGTGGTGCATACCGCATTCGGATTCAACCAATATCGCGCTCATTAAGATTGATTCACAATTGTATTAATAGTCTACTTATCAATTGTCCAAATTGTTATGTGTTTTTTTATTTAATTTATTTAAAATTTTAAAGGGATTAAATATAGTAGTGTTTAAAATTGTGACAAGATGTAAAAGAAGATTGAATAATTTGTATCAATTGAAAGTAGTGAGAGAAATGACATGGTACCAATTTTGAATTGTTAGTTGAACTTGATGCAAAATACAAATTTACCTTTTCTTTAACCATCCACTACAATAAAGCTCAGTGCTTCTTAGTTGTCAGGTTGATAAATACATAGAACTACCCAGGCCATTATTTAATTCTCTGAATATTATTATATAACAATTGCCATAAATAGTTACATATATATGTAACGTTTTACCAAATGTGGAAAGTATGAAAAGAAAAAAACACAAACGTCTACATTGGGATGACTTGCCGCATGGCTTTTGGTATTGTGAATTCATGAGATGGATATCCATAATCCACTTATTTATTTTATTTTATTTTTTAAGATACTTATTTTCTAAAATTATTATTTTTGAAAAATAATTACATGCATCACAATGACTTTGTTGGTAAAATTGTTGAGAGCATTACCCGGGTCCTACACCCATCTCGGCACAATTTAAGAGTTCGGCTAAGCCATTAGTAAAGCGATGTTCAAGTCTGATCTCTAAGGCAAGAGAAGATAATAAGCTAAGGTTGTAACTCGAGTTAGTTATCTTCAATGGATTATGTACGTGTTGGTGGCTGGTGGGCATGAATAGGGATTGCGACAGGCATGAGTACAAACCACCCGTGTAATAAACTTATTTGTAATCATTTATACATTGTTATTGTTTTATTATTTTTCTACCATTACAAACTTGAACCTAACATATAGTTACATGTTACAACCATAACGTTCATATTTACAATAACAAGAATCAAACCTTAAACTATGACTACAAGTAAAAGTATTAATTTGTTTTTAAATTGATTAAACAATTGAGCTTTATATGCATTATTATGGCAGTCATTTAAAAATTATTACTAAGGGTGATGCCATTAAAGAGTACATACACATGAATCATTTTAAACATTGTTGAATCTCATGGGAACATGGGTCCATAGCTCAGTGGTAGAGTATTTGACTGCAGATCAAGAGGTTATTGGTCAAACTTTATTGGGCCCTAGTCTCATCATTTTTTCCTTTTCAAACATTTTCTGGAATTTTAGGTTCTTTTTATAGTAAACGCAATCTATTGTTTTCATTTGCCAAGGTCCAACCTAATTAAATACATTTTTTCCTTTTCAAACATTTTTTGGCATTTTAGGTTCTTTCCACTTTCCAGCGTAAACACAATCTATTGTTTCCATTTTACACAAAAGACATGCCAGCTTCATTTTGATTATTCGGATGTTGAATTAATGTCTCAAAGAAAATAAAAATTGATAAAAATGGGAGGCAACAAATATGACAATTGGAAGTAATTGTATTAAGAATTTAGAAAGTGAAACATACACGGTATGAACCGCATTAATATTCTATTGTTGAAGCCCAAACAGTTATAACAAGACGGCTAAATACAAATCTTAAACCAAGATTCATACACAAATCAACCACCAAAATCGTAGAGAGTCCTACCTTGCCTCTTCAGAGCATAAACCACATCCATGGTGGTAACCGTCTTCCTCCGTGCATGTTCCGTGTAAGTCACGGCATCACGAATCACATTTTCCAGGAATATCACGAGCACTCCACGGGTTTCCTCGTAGATTCGGCCGCTAATCCTCTTCACGCCGCCTCTTCTCGCCAACCTCCGAATCGCCGGCTTGGTGATGCCTTGAATGTTGTCCTGAAACACCTTCTGGTGACGTTTGGCGCCACCCAATCCCAAACCCATGCCCCCCTTTCCACGACCAGACATGATTGATCAAAGAAGAATTGAGTGAATTAAATTCCTTGATTTGGAGCTTTATCCCTAGCTTGAATGGAAGAAACGGGCAGGGATTTGCTGGTTATATATTGGTTTGAATCGGTGGGCGGGTTTAAAAATTGGCGGTCGATTTTGAATTTTGATGAAATTTTGGAAATTGCGTTTTTGGGAAATGTTGTGTCAGCATAAATCGCTGATAAGGTTCAAATTGACGGCTTAAATGTGACTATCACGCAGATTGATGACGTGGCATGGATCTAGTAAATAGAATATGGGCTTCAGCCCAAAATTAAGATATCTATTTTAGGTCATATATATAAATTAGACCAACGTACGGACATCCTAATAGGATGGCATGGCGGCTGCTAGAAAATGGCAAATTATAGTATGAGCCACAATCCACCTTGTGAGCATATAGTCATTAACGTGCACTCCAACTAACAGCTTAGGCTTTTAGTTGAGATGGAGTATATGCTTCAATTTGGTATTAGAGCCAGATTAAAGGTCATGGGTTTGAATCTCACCGTCACTCATAAGCGACTACGATTTATTGGTCCACGTGTTGCTTGGAACCCTCACCTTACATTATGGTTCAAAACGATATTTAGATTATCTTCCTATAGTTAATATATATATATATATATATATCAAAATAATAATATGTTAATTATGGTCCAAAATGATATTTAGATTATATACCTATAGTTAATATATTATATATCTTCAGTTAAATTATGTACATATATAAATAAATTAAAAGTAAATAATCTGTTAATTAACTATACGTACATACGTTAACATATATATTGAACGTACATAATATATACTGTCATTCATATATATATACACACACACCCAAATAGCCAATTGAGTTTTTAGCAAAACACCTTTAGCGATTTCGATCCCGATACACAACTTGACGAGTAGTTATGCTGTGAATCCGTATGTACCATGCATGGTACATACGGATGCAAAAACGACGTCGTTTTATTAAAAACGCGCGTCTCCCGTTAAAAAAAAAAAAAATCAGGTTCAATTTTCAGCAATAGCATTATGTTGTTCATTCATTATGGAATTTTAGTTCATAGATTATGGAATTTTAGTTCATAGATTATGGAATTATAGTTCATCGATTCTGGAATTGTAGTTCATCGATTCTGAAATTTTAGTTCATAGATTCTGAAATTTTTAGTTCATAGATTAAATTCTGAAATTTTAGTTCATAGATTCTGAAATTTTTAGTTCATAGATTAGATTCTGAAATTTTAGTTCATAGATTCTGGAATTATAGTTCATCGATTCTGGAATTATAGTTTATCGATTTTGGAATTTTAGTTCATATGTTGTTGCTGTGAATCGAACCTGAATTTTTTTTTTTTTAAGGGGAGACGCACATTTTTAATAAAACGACGTCGTTTTTGCATCCGTATGCACCATGCATGGTGCATACGGATGCACAGCATAATTTGCCACAACTTGACATACTAGTTCGAAAAATATGCCTTCCTGCAATCATGGGCTTCGTGCAAATGTGGTGACCATCGACATCTTTGGGGGATTAGAGCTAAACAATATCATTGATATTGATTTCTATAATACTTCTAATTACTCCTATGAAAATTACCGCAATTAAAAAACAAAACAAAAACCATAAAACTATACCCACTCTCATCTTCTAAATGGAGAGTTAATTTGTCTATAATTTTTATGTGGGAGGGTGTTTTTATATGAACATGAATGTGTGTGTGTAAAATCTAACTAAATAAGAAGTTAATTCGATTAATAGTCAGTTACTTTTGCTATGTGGACAATTAATTGACTTTTTTTTTTAATATTAAATTATGTGTCTTTTTTATCTAATCTAAAAACATAATAAGTCTCAATGTTGGTTATATCCCTTGTTTATGTCTATTTTTCTGTTAAGTTTTTTATTATAAATTATGCTATAAGATTTGTACTCTACAACTTTTTTGACAAAATTATGTCCACCGTTATAATTTTAGTTTTCTTTTTCCATTATTATTACCATGCACATGCATAGACAATATCATTTCTTATATTCTTTAATGGTGATAATGTTTTGATTTTTTTTCTCCCTCTCTCTATTCTCTGTGGCAAAAAAAAAATGTCAAATTTCAATAATTGTTGTGCTTGCTTTTATCCAGGTCAGCACAAATTTAAAAAAATAATAATAACATTTTCAATTTTAGATGTCATGCTAACAATTTTACATAAACAATCGGCTATTTGATTGGATTGCATGATTTTAGATTGTTTATGAAGTCAAATGTTTTTTAAAATTTAATTTGAATAGTCCAATTGTATTTTTATGTATAACTCATTGGTGCCCGCATGGACAGTTCAGTTGGTCATAGGGGTGAAGTTTAGGAAGAATGACCAGTGATTGAGTCTCACCAGCGGCAATGTGAGAGCAACCTTTGTGGTTCAACTCAGCTGAATTACCTTGATTTACATCCTCCCAGATACTTTGTCGGGCCTTGGGGGTTGGGGATTCATCCTTTTGAGAAGAATGTATAACTCATTGGCTTATTTTTATCTTTTTCCTTATTTTTAGAAAAATGTTAATCTTGATTTTGGAAGAAGAAGAAAAAGAAAAAAATCATGCACTAAATATGACAAAAACAATAAATGAGGAACAAATGTACATTATTATGGAACTAAAAACAAATATCTTTTTACTTTTTTTAGTAGTATATTGAGTATTTGAATTTCACTTAGCAGGTTACTTTGCTTGTGTGGGTAAATTATGTTGTCCAATGGTGCACACGGTTGCAAAACGTTTTACTATGATGGAGTAACGGTGTCATTAGTGGCACCGTTTAACTCCACCAATCAAATAATTTTTTTTATTTTTTATTTACAAAAACTCCAATCGACGTGTAATTATGAATATATAGTTATGCAAGTCTGAATATATAGTTATGAAGTTATGGATATATATTTATGAAGTTATGGATATATAGTTTTGAAATTATGAATGTGTAGTTATGCAATTATGGATATAGTTCTCTGTGAACAAGCACTTTAAGAATTCTGAATATGGAATTATGTAATTATGAATGTCTAGTTGTAAAATTATGAATATATGGATATGAAATTATGAATGTGTAGTTATTATTTCTGAATATACTATTGTCAAATTATAAATATATAGTTATGTAATTCTGGATATATAGTTATGAAATTCTGGATATATCCGGTCTACTGTTTGAATATGAAAAGAAACCGCCTAACGCCGTTAACGACAATCCGAACGGAATTTTTTTTTTAAAAAAAAAATGAAACAACGTCGTTTTGCATGGTGCACACGGGTTGCACAGCATAACGATTGCGTATGGACATCCCAATAGGATGGCATGGCCCGGTTGCAAGAAAATGGCAAATTATACTATGAGCTTCAATCCACCTTACATTATGATCCAAAATGATGTTTAGATTATATACCTATAGTTAATATATTATATATCTTCAGTTAAATTATGTATATATAAATAAATTGAAAGTAAATAATATGTTAATTAACAACACGCACATAATACGTTAAATATAAATACATAATATGTTAATTATATATAATTTATTAACTGAATTTATTAAGTGTATTTAATCTAAATGTGGTTTTAAATCATGGTATAACAAATGGTAAAAAATCACCAGTTAATCATTCAACAGTTATTTCGACAAATCTTAGACAAATGGTATAATAATGTTGTTCTCCATTTTAGCCTTTTAGGGCACAAAGCCAACTGTTTTGAGAAATTTTTACAACACAAAAAGAAATGGAAGAGAAGTTGTGTAATTCAGTCTGGTATGTATGTTGAAATCTTTTTCTCCTTTTTAGTGCTTCAATTGGGGTGTAGTGAAGACATAATTTTGAAATGTAATTCTCAACCCTCAACTAATTTGACTCTGGTATAATAAACCACAAACAATAAAAGAGAAGTTTGACTCTGTGACAAGATCAACCGAGAAAATATTGACAAGAATTAAACTCAACCACCCATTTTACTATAGCTTATAACATATTTCTTAATCATGCTATTAATCTCACATCTGTGAGTTCGACTGAGATAGTGTTGACAAGAATTAAACTCGTAACCTAGTATGAACTAAAACTGCAGACAACCTGGGAATGTCTAGTTAACACATGCAGGAACATCATTATGAATGGAAAATATTTCGTGTATATATTAATATAAAGTGGCAAAATCCCCAATCACACAACTTATTCCCCATAAAGGGTAAATTAAAAAGAAGAAAAAAAGAAAAAATTTGAAGTAAAAAACACAGGAGGGTCTCTCATCTCAAATCCAATCACTGCGGCTTAGCTTAACTCTTTCTTCCAATCCCAAGCCTGGTGCGGAAATCGTCCTCCATAAGAGGAATCCCATCGCGCAACTTCACCTTCGGTTCCCAGCCAAGCAACTCCTTCGCCTTCGTGATGTCTGGCTTTCTCTGTCGAGGATCATCCGGCGTGTTCTCCACCGTCACAATTTTCACGTCCGAATTAATCATCTACGCCCAGAAAAAGGGTAAAAAACGTTGCAGGGTAAGTAATCTAGCAAAATGGCGTTCGTTTTGAAGAGAGGAAAGCGTGTGGGGTCAAACAAGTTCGGATCGTTACCTCTTTCACAGTATCAGCCAGTTCGAGCATTGTGAATTCACCGGGATTCCCAATGTTAATAGGTCCCGTGTTGTCTCCCTCCATGAGCCGAATAAGACCATCAACCTTCACCAACGAGACAAGTCCAAAAATTAAAAATAAAATAAAAAAAAAAAAAATGAATGTTTTGATCTATATAACTTGTTTAAGCGAGTAAAGAATTGTGATTTACAGCATTACCATGTCAGAAACATAGCAAAAGCTACGGGTTTGTGTTCCGGGCAGTTGGACAGTTAAGGGCTCATCACTAACCAGAGTTCAAAAGTAAACCAGTGTTAGAGCGAGTCGAAAGAAAAATAATAATTATAATTATAATAATAAGTTTCAATAAGAGCCAATATATGGACTCTGCAAATATTACCGAATTGCCTGAGCAATGAAATTGCTGACAACACGGCCATCATCAATGTTCATCCGAGGTCCATAAGTATTGAAGATTCTAGCAATTCGGATTTCTGGCAATGCGAAAAGAAAAAAAAAAATCGGTTGAAAAAATAAACAATAAATCCAAGTGATTCTCGGTGGAATAAAATGACAAAAGTGTTACCAATTCCGTGCTGCCTATGATAATCAAACATCAATGTTTCCGCGACTCGTTTTCCCTCATCGTAACAGCTCCTTACTCCTGAAACGCAAACATAGGATGTTTTGCCTCATGAAAATTCACAAGCCAAGAGTTGTGATTAAATAATTCCGGAACCCAAACGGGAACTAGTTTATTACCAATCGGGTTAACATTGCCCCAATAGCTCTCGTCCTGAGGGTGCACGAGAGGATCTCCATAAACCTCAGAAGTCGAAGTGAGCAGAATCCTATTGCATAGTATAAAATGTTTTAGAAAAAAAATAAATAAATCATATAATAGGAAAAATATATTTAGTGATAAAAATTTTAACCTTGCACCGACTCTCTTGGCAAGTCCCAACATGTTCAATGTCCCAATAACATTTGTCTTAATTGTCTGCAAGTGATACATCAAACAATCCAAATAAGCAAGTCACGTTAACATGTCACAAATATTTCCAAAGAGGCATAAAACTAAATTCCCCTTTCATCGATCCTCCAATATGCAAGAGCAATATGCAAGAGCAACTCACGGGATTTTATTCGTAGAAACAAAAACATAAAGATTTCTAACCTTCACGGGATTGTACTTGTAAAAAATTGGGGAAGCAGGACAAGCAAGATGATAAATTTGGTCGACTTCAATCAACAATGGCTCCGTGACATCTGAACGAGAATAGAGAACATAACATAGGACAAGATTTCTAACACTCCAAAAGTGCAAACCATATTTAGACGATCAAACAGAGAGGTAAAGAGCGTGATACCATACCATGACGTATGAGCTCAAATCTCGGGTGTCCAATCCACTGCTTGAGGTTATCCTTCGACCCCGTAAAATAGTTATCCACAACAATCACCTCATTCTTCTCGTTTTCCATGAGCTTGTCTACAAGGTGAGAACCGATGAAACCAGCACCACCAGTAACCAAAATTCTCATGTTTGCCTGTCAATTCAAATCCCGAGAAATAAAGTTATTCATTCAGAGCAAACGAAACCAGAAACCAAAACAAATATCTCCCACTAGAGTACACTTTAAACTCATCGCCATAGCTTAAAGCACTATTATACCTGGAAAAATTTCGCCTTTCTCAAAGGTGATGGTTCTGGAGGTGGCTTTACTCCATTTGAGGCCATTCTATTACCTAACCAACACAACCACAATACCATAAATCCCAAAAAAAACCTTTGCAAATCTAGTAAAACAACATAGGAATAAGCAAAAAAATCATCAGAAATTAACCCACATTGCAGACAAAAAACAAGAAAAGTGAGAGCTAATCACAATGTCTAATCAATTCAATGAAAATCTAGAAAATTCAAGAACCTGAAATTTATAGATATTCTAATGCTAATTCGAATGGAATGAGGGCTTAGACAGACTTAATTGCAGAAGAATGGAGACCAATGCAGGTATATATATATGCGATCAGAAACATCAAAATCAACTAAACTAAAGAAACATGTAAAGAATTAAAACATGATTGCTGTCACACCAACCGTTAACACCCACCAACGACAAGGACAAGGAAACAGATATTTTTCATTAAAAAAAAAATCAAATCTTCAAAACTACGTAAAGGGGGAAAAGGTGGACGACAGCGATTGAAAGTGAAGTGCGATCAAAGCTTCTGAACAACCGAACAGGGAAACAGACCCACCCACATCAAGCACTTGCAGATCTGAATCTAATTCGCCCCAAAAGATTAAACATTTATCATCATCGTAACAAACAAAGACTAATCAACAATTAAGCAAGTCATTACCGAGCGAAGCGAATAGATTTTTTCCCGCAACTGACGAACAAGAGCTCTACTGCTCCGTCTCTTTTGCAGTTTGCTCCTAAAAGACAGAATTCCGATGTATATATACACACGTGTATAGGGTATACGAGGTTGTGTTATTGATGGAATAAGGGATTGTAACCGTAGATTTGTTGATTTTTAGTAAAATATTAACTCTATATTTGGATTTTTTATAATAATAGTAACAATAATTTGGACCATATTAGGATGATGTAATGTTGATTTTGGAATCTTGGATTATCCCAGATGATAGGATTACTTCTAGAAAGGTAATGTTATATTTTGGAATAATATTATCTTATGTGTTTGGTTTGGATTGTCGAATATAATATTACCTTGTTTGGTTAGAGTCCGTTTGGAAAGTATGAAAATGACTTCTCGAAAATATTTTATGGAAAATAATCAAAAAATATTTTACTTTTCGGTGTTTAGCTGCACAACACTAAACTGTCTTTGTATGTTTGGTTCATTTTCCAGAAAGTGAGCAAAATTGTATACTTCACTATTTTGATTGTTATAATGCTAAGAGAGATTAAGCTTGTTTAGGACGGTATAATCTCTAAATCTTTAACATACAATAGATATGACTTCATATATAAATCTCAAACAATAAATTTATCATAAAAAATAATAAAATAACATTGGACTGATTTTCCAAACCGAAACACCAGACGAGAGCATCGATTTGGTTTACGGCAAGGAAACCAATCGCTGGAAACCAATCTGGTTTCCGGCTTGGAAAACCAGATTCTAGTTATCTGGTTTTCCAAGTCGAAAACCAATACGTTTTCAGCTGTAGATTTTCGTACCCACGGCCAAAAACCATTTCCAGTGGTCGAGAAATTGGCGTTGGTGAATGTCACGAAGAAGCGAAGAAGAAGGTCTTAGTGGTCTATGTGCGAAGAAGAAGCGACGTTGGTGAATGTCACGAAGAAGAAGGTCTATGTGGTCTCTGTGCGAAGAAGAAACGACGTTGGTGAATGTCGCGAACAAGTGAAGAAGGTCTCTGTATACATACAAAATAACTTCTAAACCAACTAGGTTTATATTACATACATCAATTTTAACCAAACACGGGAATTTAACATAAGATTTAATTAGAAGTTGAATTTGATTAGGATGTTATGCTTGATTTTAGAAATGTATTTATGGTAGAATTGGATTCTTCATGGTAGAATATTCTATTTATTATGCTTGTATTATTTATTTATTTTTCGGAACTTTTTTATACGTTATTTCAACAATTGACTTTGATTTGTTCCATATGTCATTGCGTCAACAGTAGTTTGGTGTGTGCACTTTTATGCAATATCGTGTGATTTTGGTATGCTTTGATGATAGTGTGGTGTGTGCATTTTTATGCTTTATCGTGTGCACATTGGTTTGCTTCGGACTAATGCACCCTATTACCCGTGTGTGTACTTGTGTTGTGCATATATAAGTTGTTTGCAATTGTGTGAATCACGTGGCCATTTAGTGCATTCTACATTGGATGATGTGCATGTATTCGTACATTTTACAATCTTTTGAACATATGCTTCGTTTTTGTTATGTTGTTTCATTTATGTGCAATTGTGTGTTGTGTTGTCGCATCCACTTAAAAAACGCCCAAATTATTGTAATATATTAATCCAATAACTCACAGTGGTCTAAAGTGACATACAACAGTACAAAGTCAATACACACACATGACACTCAAGATCACACGACAACCAAACGAGTGCACACACTTAGCACTCAAGATCACATGGCAACCAGACGAGTGCACACACACCACCAAATCAGTACACACACATGGCGCTCAAGATCACACTACAACCAGACCAGTGCACACACACCACCAAATCAGTACACACACCTGACACTCTAGACCACATGGCACCCAGACAAGTGCACACAACTCAACAAAGACATGCACATGGCCCCGCCCCCACACAAACACACAACTGCCCCAGATTCGCCACCCCTCGGGTTCTCCTCAGAGAATGCTCAATATGGGAGCCACACTACTGGAAAACACCTTGCGAAGCATACCGCTAAGTTACAAGAAGGATCTGGAACTTGAAAATATGAATATTGTAGAAAAGAATAAGAAAAAAAAAAAAGGCTCTGATGATCCTCATTTTATCCTGTTGCTATGTGGTTCCCGATTTTGGGAACCCTTAACCATCAAATTTTGGGCGGAGGAATACGGTTCGATACAGAGCTGCCATCAATCATCGGATGCGGTCGTTGTTGCCATGTAGAGCTACGGTGGCGACAGTTGGTGCTACGCCATCGTCGACGATAAAAGGTCGTTGGCCGGTTACGGATGAGGAGGAATAGTGTAACCGTTGCGATGACCGGACACCATGTTTCTACTCCGGTGCGACATCGCTACTGTTGTTGTGTGGAAGGAGATTTCCATCATCGCTATTGCGGTGGGCTTGCTCCAACGTGATATTGATCATAGGGATGGGCACTTCAGTTCGGCTTATCCGATCCGAACCGAACCGATCCAAATCGAACCGAACTAGTAATAGAAAACCGAACGGTTCAAGATTTTGTAACCCGAACGGTTTAGTACCGAACCGAACCAAAACCGAACGGTCTGGCAAAAACCGAACTGAATCAAATGATATATAATTTTTAATAAATAATAATAATAATAATAATAATAATAATAATAATAATAATAATAATAATAAAAATAATAAATTAATAGTAATAATAATAATAATAATAATAATAATAATAATAATAATAATAATAAAGAAGTAAATTCAAGTTCCTTGATATCTGCTCTGCCGTTCAGTTCTCATTCTTACTAGTACCAAATCTTAAATTTTTTATTTGATTTCTTTATAGCTTGTTTTCTACATTGCACTTTTGTTGTTTGTCGCAATTGTTCTTTACCTCACAATTATATCTAATTAGAGTTACATTTACAATATTCAGTATTTTCCTTAGTTTCATGTTTTTCTATAAATTTAATGTGCTTTACAGTCATTCTAATTTTGATTTCCAGTACACTATAATTATTTTCTAGTACTGGAATATATTTCGAGTGCACTAGCAATGACAGATTGTGTCTAAAAATTAACTATATACTAATTGACACTAGTTCTTTTAATATCAACTATACAGATAGATGGTTATTCATCTTATCAATAAAAATATTCCAACCGAACCAACTGAAGGGTTGGTTGTGTTTGAACTTTGGATTGCTATTTTGTTATATAATGTTTAGAGTTTGAATTTGGTTTATGTGAATATGTATTGTTTGGTAGTATGTTCGAAAAATTAGGAAATGTTGAAATTTGGGGATCTTAAACCGAACCGAACACCGAACCAAATTAAATCTGAACCGAAACCAAACTATTTCAAACCGAACCGAAACCGAACCAAACCCTAATAATAAACCGAATGGTTTAACTTTTTTAAAAACCGAAACCGAAACCAAAACCGAAAAACCGAACCGAAACCCAAAACGCCCACCCCTAATTGATCTAATGACAAATAAGAAAAGAATTCAAAGCTACTTTAAATTAATCCCTAAAATACGCATAACTTAAAGAAAATATAATATTTACAATTAAAAATTCATATAGATTCCCGAAATACCTTTATTAAATAAAAGAGAGAATAAGAAAATTAAAAAAAAAAAAGTCATTGGATCTAAGAAAATAAATGATCTAGATTAGTTATCACGTCTTTATAGGAAATAGTGTCCTTATTTAAAAACACACACACACACACACACACACACACACACACACACACACACACACACACACACACACACACACACACACACACACACACACACACACACACACACACACACACACACACATATATATATATATATATATATATATAGTGAAAGGTTCTCGTGCGGTTGAATGCTTCCTGTGCGGTTGTGCGATTATTAATGTGCGTGAGATTTGTACTCAATGTGCGTGAGTGTTGTGTCTAATGTGCCTGAGATTTGTACTTAATGTGCGAAATGCAGCAGAAAATATGGATATCAGCTTCTTCCCCATCCCCAATACCTGCACTCTGTGAGTTGCTTCAGAATAACTTCGATTATTGGGTTGCTCATAATGTGGTATGGAATATGCTGGCCTGTGCTTATTCGACATCTGAGATGGTTGCTGATGCTCTTTTTGTTCTATCCAAGATGAAAGATTTGAATCTTCAAGTTTCAATAACGACATATAATAGTGTGTTGCTCTGCTTTACTGATGTTTACAATGAAATAAAAGCTTCCCAAAGTGAATACACAAATTCTATCCTTATCAATGGTCTATGCAGACCGATCTTGGTGCGAGAATCTGGAACTTCTGTTGTTTGCTTCAATTCCAGATTGTTGAAAATTCTCTTATTACTCACGCACATTAAGCACAAATCTCACGCATATTAAGCACAATACTCTGGCACATTGAGTACAAAACTCACGCATATTAACATGACGCACATTAAGTACAAATCTCAAGCATATTGAGCATAACACTCACGCACATTAAGTATAAACCTCACACATTAATCCACCGCACAACCGCACGGGAAGCAACAAATGCACCTGATCCCTTCCCTATATATATATATATATATATATATATATATATATATATATATATATATATATATATATATTCTTGCAATTAAATATGTAATGATAGATATTTATAATGTTTTATGGATTTGTATTATGGAGTACAATTTAATCATTTCATTTCCTAGTTAATAAGAAATAGAAATTCATTTTTCAAAAAAAAAAAAAAAAACAGGAATTCAGAGTTGGCTGAACTTACCCTTGCAAGTGTACGTATTTGCAATCTTATTTGGCATGCCACATGGAATTATTTTTTATTTTTATTTTTTTTGTTACATGATGTGTAATGCAAACTTGCATCTGTTGCAAGTTTGCAAAGTACAAAGAAAGCTGCCGAATGGCAGCCTTCTTTGTACTTTAGTATTGCAAGGCAGCATGGCTGCCTACAAATCTGTACTTTTCTTTAGTTTTTATTTTATTTTATTTTTATATATATAATATAAAATAAAAGTGAAACCCATTTTTTAGAGTGAGAGAGATTTGTAGGGATGTAATGTGAATAGGAGATAATTTGCAAATAAGATGATGTGAAAGTGGGACGCATTTTCGAGAGTGTGAGATGTTTGGATAAGGACAGCCTAAAACTTTGTCGAAAAAATCTGCCACGTCAACAGCACGTAGATTTGGCGTATAGGTTGGTTAATCGTAAGTATATACTCCGTATGTTTATATGTTACAATGAGGGGTAATTTTGTAATAACGCCCCTTCTAAACTGAGCTGGTGTTCGTCGAGATTTGACAAGTACACTGTACTTGTTCTGGATCTACGACTTTGTCTTTAAACAAAAGGTAGGCAGCAATTAATTATTTTTTATAATCTCGACTTCATAATCTAATTTAATACCAGTAACTTATAATAAATATAATAGTCTTTAATATTTGTCACATTCTATATTATATTATTTAAAATAAGAGAAAAGTTACAACGCTGATCAACAGTTCGACATCAATATTTTTTTTTATACCATTATGTAGAGTCAAGTTCAGGTGTGGTGATCCTTTCCCGTGTGACCGTGCGACAGTTTTCGGAATACACCAATAGTTAAACAAGATATACATCATCAGCGTTATGAAATGTTAGACAAATTAGGTACGCATCACCAACACACCATTGGGTATGACTAAAAACACCACACAGTGTTCAGAAATACACCATTAGTGGAATGGATCTATATGGTGTAATTTTTTAGGCGAGTTGTGTATTTTTTGGTGTATTTTTACATCTCATTGTGGTGTGTTTCCCTTACACTGTTTGTGTATATTGTTAACATTGTTGGTATATTCTGAAAACCGTCGCACCGCCACATGGGAGGGCCTTGCTTACTTGTTTCAAGCTTGAGGTTTTGTATTCACTATAAATGAGGAAAACAAAAATTGGACCAGTGACCATTTCTCTCTATCCAAAGAAATTGCCCGCGGCTCCAAATATCTACAAAAATCAAGACTATTAGCTTCAGAAACTACAAAACATTAAAATATAATGAGTCAGATCCTATTTTGTACCTAATAGAAAGAGTTAACTTGTCCAAAGATTCCAAATAGATAATTAATGTGTGGAAATTATGTCTTTTGTTAATAAACCAATCCTCTAAGTATTAAACTATACATTTATTATGTGTTTTATTATGTAATTTGTTATGTACAGTTTGTAGCCTAGTTAATGATCTAGTCTTAAACCTATTAGATAGCTCTCTCTCCTCAGAGTATAAATATAACATGAATTCAGTTATTAAATGAATCGATCACTTCCACTCTCATCTGGTATCAGTTAGCCAATAGGAATCCTGCAATTCAATTTTTTTTTCTCCCTCTTTCGACAATGTCACAGAGCTCCGAACGTATCCTTACCACCACCACAGTCTCCTCCCCAAACACCAACCCCTATTCCCTTCCCAGTGCACACCATTTTGTGTCACTAAAACTTACCCACTGAAATTACCTGTACTGGCGTACCCAAATTATACCATTCCTCCGTGGTCAACGACTGCTCGGCTTCATCGATGGATCGCGCCCATGCCCATCGCCGGTGCTGGAACTCCCCGCCAACGAGACTTCTGATGAGGCTGCTTCCACGACGATCAATTGGGCACACGAAGCATGGATAAAACAGGATGCCTCCATTCTTTCGTTACTGATCTCCTCGATCTCTGAGGAGGTCATGTATCTCACGCTTGGTCAGACCACGTCTCATGGTGTGTGGATCGCGGCGGAGACAGGGCTTGGTTCATCGTCGCAAGTTCGATGCCTCAATTTGATGGGGTAGTTCCAATCCTTGAGGCAAGGAGACAGCTCCACGCAAGAGTATCTAGGCCGTGTGCAGCATTTGGTTGAGGACCTTGCCCTCGCCGGCGGGACCATGACGCTGTCGGAGCAAAACTTGTACGTTTTTCGTGGGTTGCGGACGGAGTTTCGGTCTATGGCAGCCTCCCTGGCGGTCGCTAATACGCCGGTGACGATCTCGCAGCTGGCCGACTACCTGCAGGCCCAGCAGTTCATCCATGAGGATGATTTTTCGGTGCATCACCGGTGACGGCGGGTGGCGTCCCCTCGGCGTTGTACGCTGGCCGTGGCAGAAGGCAGTCTGGTGATGGCAATCAGTGCGGAGGTTAGTCTCGCGGTGGAGGAGGAGGTGGTGGAAACCAGCGCGGCGGCCGCGACAGGCGTGGACGAGGTGGTGTTCGCTGTCAGATCTGCCGATCTCAGGGGCATTCCGCCGCTTACTGTTACAGGCGGTATTCCGAACCTCCACCATCCCAGGCGCATGTGGCGGTCACAGGTGACGGAGGAGCATCACCGGCGGTGACGTCGTGGCTGCCGGACACGGGTGCCTCTACGCACGCCGGGGCTTGTACTCGTTGTCAATTCCGAGATCTCATTATGCGTTCATCTCGGCTCGTGCCTCTTCCGTGGTCTGGCACCAGCGTCTCGGTCACCCACATAGTCAAGCCCTGCAGCGTGTCTTGCGGGATTGCCCGGTTGAGTTAAATAAAAGTGTAATGCCAAAATTATGTACCTTGGAAAATCGTCACGTTTTCCTTTAGATAGGGTCCTTAAGTCAAGTAATAATGTACTAGATCTCATTTACACTGATATTTGGGGCCCTGCGCCAGTTCTTTCGGCGGATGGCTCCCGTTACTTTGTACTCTTCGTAGACGATAATATCCACTTTTGTTGGTTTTATCCTCTGCGACTCAAAACCGATATCTATAAAATATTCGATCTTTTTCGGGCGATGGTAGAACGTACTTTTTCACGTTCTATCAAGTCCATTCAGTCTGATTTGGGGGGGAATACCAAAAATTACACAAACTGTTCACATATTTAGGGATCGTTCACAGGCAATCGTGTGCCTATACACACGAACAAAACGGCCGTGTTGAGCGTCGGCATTGGCATATTGTCGAGACCGGCTTAGCTTTGATGGCTCAAGCGTCTATCCCGCAGCCAAAGATCAGCTTGCAGATATCTTCATCAAACCTCTTCCAACAGCTCGGTTTGGGGCTCTTCGACACAAGCTCAATGTGGTTTCGCATCCACCTCGTGCTTGAGGGGGAGTATTAGACTATACATTTATTATGTGTTTTATTATGTAAGTTGTTATGTACAGTTTGTAGCTTAGTTAATGATCTAGTCTTAAGCCTATTGGATAGCTCTCTCTCTTCAGAGTATAATTGTAACCTGAATTTAGTTATTAAATGAATCGATCACTTTCACTCTCATCCCAAGAGCAGCAAGAGCCTTTCTCAGTTTGTAAGGTTTCATACGTCTAAGAGTCTAAGATTTAGGAAAATTAGAAAAATTAGGGCAAAAAATAATTAGCCAAATTACAAACATGAGTTTGTGAGATTCAGAGAGTGTGAGAACGAGATTAGGAACCAACGAGGACTTCTGCTAACCGATTGTCGGTGCTCCGTGTTTGGTGGCGACTGGCGAGGTGTGATGGTGCCGTCCATGCAAGGACAGAGGCACAGAGGTTACAGGGCGAGTCCCGAGAGGAGACGAAAGAAGCATTAGCATGCGTTTGCTGAACGATGAGAGAGGCAGAGAGCCCGCAGAGCAACGAAAGAGGCGGAGAGCGATGAGAGAGGCTGAGAGCGGAGTAGTCATGATGAAATAAGAAAAAAAAATTATATACATAATACAACCCTAGAACGACATCGTTTTGAATGTATAATTTTTTATAATGGGAGCACCCCCAAACCAGCTTCGTCCCTGTGGGGGTGTATCTCAACCTAGAGAGAAAAAAATAATAAACAAACACTCAAACTCTACATCATTAAAATAATCTCGCAATTTATCTCCTCTCATAATTCTCAAGGCAAGAGAGTGAGAGACCCTCAGGTTTAGAGTATAAACCTATAATAGTGCATTGGTGCTCGATGTAAAAGACATCAATTTTGATCCACAAATTATAATTTTCCCATTTAAACTTCCAGTTTTGACCCTGAAAAATATAATTTTACAAAAGCTTCTATCCACTATATAGTTTGAATTCAATGCAAAATTACACTCTATAATCAATTTCAAGGTCCAGATATGTTCAGGCCCAGTCTCGTTGATAGCATCAAACATGGGTCGAGCCCAAATTAACCCATAATCTAACCAACACCCTATAACAAAAATCAGGCCCAAAACGGCATCTCAAAGATGAAAACGAGACCCGTGAATTACGAAACAGACGACCCGATAACCCGAAACCAATGAAGACAGGCCCAGGAACACGAATCCGGCGAATCCAAGTGCGATCGAGATATAGGATTGGACGCAGAACGCATTGTCATCCGTACACGTGTCCATACCGTGCAACGTCCGGGCGAACGCCGTCCCGACTGCTGCCGCCGACAGTGACATGTACGCAAACACCTACACAGCAAGCAGAAGACGACGGCGCACTTTGTTCACACTGCTTCAAACTGGAAACGAAAAAACAGCGTGTGAAATAGAGTCAAAGAAGGAGAACCTGATCGTGGCCGAAATCGAACCAGACCTGTATGACTTCAGGGAACACGGTTGCGCCTCTGGAAATCTCCCAAACCGAAGCTCCGACTTCGAAGAACGAATACACAGCGACAATCGCATTCGCAACCGCTACGAACCTGACAAAATTCCTTCTCAATTAAACCGATCGGAACTAAAACCTACACTCTCTCTACTGAATCCACGGTCGCGGAGGCGCGAATTGTACCTGAACGCGTCGAATTGGTGCCAATTGGGAGAATCCGCGTCGTGCGAATTGGAGAGCATGAAAACGGCGGCGGCGAGGGAGAAGCAGAACGCGGCGAAGCGGAATATGAGGATAAGAATGTTGACGCGCCGGAGCTTGTGCACGGAGACGGTGGAGTGAAACGGAGGCTGGATTCTGTGCCCCGGCGAGGGGGTGTGAACGCCGCCGTTCCGGAGCTGCTGAGGTGATGCCATTATCTGTGTCTACGGAGAGCTGATCGGGAGACAGAGATGGGGAGAGAAAGTGAGAGAGCACATGATAGAGAAAGGTTTTTATGAGTGAGTAGAGGTGGAGGTGAGTTAACTCGGTGGGCTGGCTAGGGTCACGAGAGAAGGCATGAATCCCATGGAAGGTGGGAAAGGAAGAAACAGGAAAGCATACTGCGATTCGTACTGGTAGGGGCTTCAGTTGTAAAGCAAACTAAAAAGTGATGCCCGCACACGACACATCATTTACGCTTATCTTTCCTAAGCGAAAGGCTTAATTGAGATTACTGCAATCCTCTCTTTTTCTTTTTCTTTTTATTTTTAAATATACAACCAACAGTATGTTTGACAAATCTAGCTGAAAGTTAAAAAGAGAATCAAAGAAATCACTAAATTATACACAAAAATGCAAGCGGGTTACTCAATTTGTTGCAATTAACGTTCCAAACAAGTCAAATTCGTGAAGTCCAACCAAATAATACGTTAACTCCGTTAACAGTCGGTTATTTTGGCTATATAGACAATTATGCGATTATATATATATATATATATATATATATATATATATATATATATATATAGAGAGAGAGAGAGAGAGAGGGGGGGGGGGGTTGCATTCAAATACAAACCCCCTTAAAATACAAATCTCCTTAAAATATAAATTTGAGACCGTGCACACATTAACATACTTATATGCACATAGCGCGTAGGAGGAAAAATCACAATCATCCATCAAAACTCGTGCACACATTAACATACTTACATGTACACAGCGCATAAGAGAAAAAAATCACAATCATCCATCAAAGCTCGTGCACACATTAACATACTTATATGCACACAGTTTATATTTTAAGGGGGATTTGTATTTGAAAATATATATATATATATATATATATATATATATATATATATATATATATATATATATATATATATATATATATATAAAAGTAAAATCCTCCTTCCTAAATTCCCCCCCCCCCCCCCAACTTAGGGGCATTTCTATAATATCCTAATTGAATTCATTATATAAATTAGATATTATTCCGTGTGTAAGAAAATTCTTTGTAACATCACAATTATGGTAATTAATTAACATCACAATTTGCTCAGTAAATTCAATATACAAGATTAAGTAAATTCCATGTGCATATACAAAATTAAGTAAATTCAATAGAGTAATAACATCACAATTTGCTATTTAAATTAATTATATAAATTAGATATTATTCCGTGTGCAAGAAAATTTAATGTAACATCACAATTATGGTAATTAATTAACATCACAATTTGCTCAGTAAATTCAATATACAAGATTAAGTAAATTCCGTGTGCATATACAAAATTAAGTAAATTCAATATGGTAATAACATCACAATTTGCTATTTAAACTCATCATTCTGCTAAACCCAAAGTTGTCAGCTTCTAACGTATTTCTGCCTTTCTAAAATCTAAATATTTTGTATTTCTAACGTATGGATCAACTAAAATTTTAGAAATACTCTCCTCTTGAAATCGATTCTCAATGGCGCCTGAACTTTACGGCAAGATTGTTGGTAATCAACTTCGTATAAGACTGTGGTGGAATTCCATCAGGTTTAGAGTGTTTCGTGTCGTTCATCTTCCATAAGCAATAGGTTCTCAAACAATAAACTCTATAGAGTGTGTAGTACATGATGTAGATGTATTTTTTTAACTGTAATCTTAATCTAAATATTTTGCATTTCTAAAATTTTAGTTGATCCATACGTTTTTTTTTTAATAATTTCAAGGAACTTTTATACATATGCATATGTCATTTCTTTTTGCAATGTTCTGATTCTATTTTTTTCCCACAGATTTGATTGGTCGTGTAATTTCAATTTATGAGCCTAAAGTTATTCAGGTTCATCAAAAACCTCAAAGGTTGATTGATTTCGTCATTGAGGATTGTAGGTATGTATCCAACCAGGGGATTGAACCACTGCAAGCTATATCATTGACTAATCCAGAAGTGATCTCCCTTGATGAAAGCACTTCTGACCAACAATCTTTGAAGAGAACAAATATGGATTGTTCATCATCTTCAAAGACTTTTAAAAAGCCTAAGAATGAACCAAATCCATGATACTCTATGAACATTTGCTTCTGCTTAATCATAAACAATATCAATTTTAGTTGGTGATTTGTTTTTTTTTTTTAATATACTAAATGCTAAACACATGGTTTATTCTGTTAGCTTTTAATTGGTGATGTTGGTTTTTAAAGACAATTGTGCCTGTATGGCAAATTAGTTTTTATTTCAAATTGCATTATGATTCTTAATTTTTACACTTTGTACTTCTAATACTATTCGTGAAAATATTATTCAACGCTATATTACCATGGAACAAAGATAATAGATCTATTATCTTTGTTCCATGGTAATATAGAAGAAGAATTGTAAAAGAAAAAAAAAATTATATGCTCTATTTACAGTGATTCAAAAACAACTTACCTTCTAATTATGAGTTGTGTTTCATGATCCAGATTGCAAGTTCATATCCATTACAGGGTGGTTCATTGAATGATTATGGACTTTCATCAACCATATCTGCATAAACATTTCAATGAAAGGGTACACCATTCATGAGTTGGGACTATTGATAAAAGGTATTTATTAGTGCACTATTAAAGTAATGCTCTTAGTTAGCAAACAAATCTGCATATGAGAAACACAATTAAAGGAAAATATGCATGTCAGATCAAGATAGTTTGAGTATATGTTGGGAAATTTTTATAAATATTTAGTTTATGATAACTAAAGAAGCACTTATTACCAATGAGAGCTTGCCTTGATGGTAGCATATATAAGCAAGGGAACAAAATTTTCAGCTTCATGCAGTCTATCATGTGTTGCTGACACATTAAGGAGCAGGTTGTCGATTACTTTGCAACACTTTAAAACGCAAAGAAGTTTCTCTCGGGGAGCTTTGTAATCATCAATTTTTTTTTTCAATTCATTTACTGCAAGCTGTAAGTAGCAATTAAGTATCAACAACATAACTAAGATCCAGATAATAATAATAATAATTTTCACTACTTCAAAAGTAAGATTATAAAGATTGATTTAGGCAACTTTGCCACCCCCAAACACATTATATCAAGTCTACAAGATGTTCATCTTTTATCAAGGCATATGATCTAGATACAAAGTTCAATATGGTGGAAAAGTCCAGGAATGTGGATACATCTAAATGAATTTGATTGCGTATTTAAAATTCCATTTACATTTAAAATTCTTAAACATACCATGCATAAACCGTCATCACGTACAACAGCAGGAATGTCCATATGCTTGGGCTGCATCAAATGTTTCAACATGCATTTTTTCTCTATTATTTCCTCCTCAAATTTGCTTCTGAGAATGTCCTAGCCTTTGCTTCTGAGAGTTTCCCCTTCCAAACTTTATTAATCCCTTTGTATTCAGACCTTCTGTCTCGAAAGCTTTTGACAAAAATCAAGAATTTGCATGAGAACATTTGCAAATTCTAAGTAACAGAAATGTGTGTCCTTAACTATCAAAGCCTTTATTCTAGAAGCAAAATCAGGTTTGTAGATCACATAAAAGGATCTTACTTGCGCACTGTATCAACATAGAAGAGTTTTCACGCATGACATAATATTTCTGCGGAGACATCACCAGAAATCATTGATTGCCCAAGACCTGTTCTTGCTCTAAGCTTCAATAAAACAAAAAGTTAGACTAAAAGAGACTAATGATAATCTACATGCATAATGTATCCTAAAAAGTTTCACTAAATATCTATTCTTTTTTATGCATGTCAGACACTATTTTATAAGTCTCGATGCTTTATTGACTAAAATAAAACAAAGAAAATGGAATAACTTCAAATTTGCAATCCAAATTATTGAAAGCAATCTATATTTTTGAAGACTATATTTTTCAATACCAACCAAAAGAGCATCATTTGTTTATTTCATGTTGAGATGTTGTCATGACTGTGATCATTATAAATAAAATGATTGTAAATATTGATCAAGGCATACCATGATCTTAAAGGTCCAGGAAAAGGAAAAATGGCACTTTAAAACAAGTTGAAGCCCAAACGATCATGCTCCATTGGGACTGCTGTGCTAGCCATTCGATTAAGCATATATAAACATAATATTTTCACCCGTGAGCCATCAGCATAAGTCAATGATTGCCCAACAGATGTTCTTGCTCTAAGCTGCAATAAGACAAAAAAGTTAAGTAAAAAAAGACACTAATGATATTCTACATGTAGTTTAGTTTCAGTCTATTTGTAACTCACCTTTGCATCCAAGCGGGGATCATTGACCATGTTCTTCAGTTGGGAAAGAACTCCTAAATTTTGTAGTTTCACAACCCGATGAAATGCTACAGGACTGCTTGGAAAAGTTAGATTTACTAAAGCCCAAACAACAGCAGTGTGTCCTATAAAATGAATAAATAAATATTACCTAACTAACTACTTAAAAAATTAATTTATATATCTATATCTATATTTATGTCAAAGCAAATGAATATTAAGCTGCCATATTTGTTTTTTTAGTAGTACTACATATACAGATGTATAAAAGGAAAAATGTACTAAATGGAATACATTACAAAATAGACTATTCAAAATAATTTAATCAAGGAAATAAATCAAAGCTACAATAATGTTCAAAATTCCCTATTATAAGTAATTGATTTGTAAAATTTTCTAGATACTTTATTACTGTTTCCATATGAAATATTATAAATATGCCCTCTAAATTTAACTATTCTTCTGTTTACAATTTTTATATCTCCAGTCAGTTTATTACAACTCACATAACCCGCAATATGAAGAAACTAACAGGATAGACAATACTAAGAGGCAGGAAGAAGCAAAAAATCACAGACAAATGTCAGATTTAATTTAAATTTTTTATTCAATCTCGAATATGTATTGTTTGTCTATTTCAATAAGTGTTTTTACTTATTATTCTCAATATATGTATGTATGTATATATAATATATATATATATATATATATATATATATATATATATAAGGGTTCAGGTGCGGGTATAGCTTCCCGTGCGGTTAGATCTGAGCTGTTGATCAAATTTAGATCAACGATTCAAATCAATAAAAATTAAAAAAAAAAAAAAACGCATGTCGGGAAGAAGATAGCGCCTACATAGCGTCTACACAAATGATAGCGTTTACACAAATGTTAGCGTCTACACAAATGAGTAGCGTCTACACAAATGATAGCGTCTGCACAACCTCACGCACATTAAATACAAACCCCATACACATTAAGCACAGCCTCACCCACATTAACCACAAACCCCACGCACTTTAAATATTAACTCACAGATTTAAAGTTTCAACAACTATTGACATTAAGCACAACCTCACGCACATTAAGTACAAACCCCACACACATTAAGCACAACCTCACGCACATTAAGCACAAACCCCACGCACTTTAATATATTAACTCACAGATTTTAAGTTTCAACAACTATTGACATTAAGCACAACTTCACGCACATTAAGTACAAACCCCACACACATTAAGCACAACCTCACGCACATTAAGCACAAACCCCACGCACATTAATCACAGATCCGCTCACCTTAATTTTGACCTACATGCAAAAATTACAAAATTGCCACCGCGTTTTTTTTTTAAATTTTGACAATTCTGGACGTTGATTTAAGCGAGATGAATGGTCCAGATTAAACCGCACAACCGCACCTGGGCACTCTAACCACACCAAAACCTAATTATATATATATATATATATATATATATATATATATATATATAATTGGAATTGTTATATTTGTCAAATCAGATTAGGGTTTCAATTAGAGAAAAAAAAATAACTACAAAAAAAATCATAGTAAGGTTTAAAATTTCAGGTTTAAACATGTTTAAAAAATAACGACGATATTTCTTACTAAAATCTCCAGATCTACTTCCAAATCAAACATGCATGAATTAGAAAACTCAGCTCTAATAAATAATTACAGATATTAGATAAAATACAGATATATATATATATATATATATATATATATATATATATATATGCTTTAGGAAAACCCGTAAAAAAAAACAATGAATAAAAGTCTTAACCTGGATCCCAAATAATGGTTTCTTGGGAGAAATCCAGATCTCAAAATCTCATCTGGATAGATCTCAACAGAAAGAGAGATGATTGAATCCCATCTGTGTGAGATGTCGTCGACGGAGCTTCCATACCCGTTGCACCGCTTCAAGGAAGAGAAGGTACACTTGAGTGTGAAGGCGATCGGTAGAAAGATCACCGGAACCGGCCGTCTGGTATCTCCGATACGTTCTCCACTGTTTCAACAACAACTGCAGATTTCTAATTAAAAAAATATCATGGGAAATGTTAAGTTTTGGGGCTATCGAAGAACGACCTAGGGTTTGTGATATTCTTATAATTGCGATCCAAAAAACCAAGAAGGCTGAGATTGATGATGTTGTTAGATTGAAGATAGTGAGAGAAGTAAGACTGAACTTTATAGATTGAAAATACAGAGAGGAGAGTGCATCTGGAAAGAACCGATAAGAAAGGGAAGAAGGGGAGTGCATCTGGAAAGTGAAAACAGCCGACAAGAAAGAGAAGAAGTGGGGTGCATCCGTATATATTAAAATTAAATTATTAAAATGTTATAAACATAAATAAAGATATAGATTGATAAATAAAAAATGAATTAATAAATTCTAATTTATATATATTATAATTAAAATGTTATAAATATAGATATAGATTACTAAATACAAAAATTAATTAAGTTGGGGGTACTAGGTTTCGCTTCTACGAGAAAATTCTGGTTTATGTTGATTTTGTAGGCCCTGGGGGTTGTTCATTGCTCATTGTTCCCTGCTTCTCCTCCTCTACATTCTTTAGCACCGTTTGCTGTATTCTTTGGGAGCCTTTGTCCTTTTCCCGTCGCCTTAGTCTGATGGCGTCCACCAGCAAAGGAAAAGAACCGCTCGAAGCTCAGTACGCTGGCCTCCATATCAACGAAGGCGATGATGTGGAAATCCAAGTGGGAGAAGAGGTGGTCAATCCCGTAACTACTGGCGATGTCTTCTCTTTAGTCGGCACTCTTCTTACAGAAAGATCCATTAAGTTCAACTATATGAAGGAGACGCTATCTACAATCTGGAGACCTGTTAGAGGTATGGTGGCCAAGGAGATCTCTACAAACCTGTTTGTCTTCTACTTTTTCCATGCCAAGGATATGCAACGTGTTCTGGACGACGGACCCTGGTCATATGATCAGAATCTTCTTATCCTTCACAAACTTGGCAACAATGAATCTCCTTACGCTGTCAATCTGGACAGAGCTGGCTTTTGGGTTCAAATCCACAAGATCCCTCAGCCCCTCACCAACGCTAGAATGGCGGAAGTGATCGGTTCAAGCCTGGGTACATTTATTAAGGCCGATATATCCAACTTTGATGGGACGCACAATGCGTTCATTCGTATCAGAGTGAGCATTGACGTGAACAAACCGCTAAGAAGGATAGTGCGAATCAAGCAGGCTAATGGTGAAAGTCTAATCCTTGAATGCAAGTATGAAAGGTTGCCTACATTCTGCTTTACGTGTGGTAAGATAGGGCATGCCGAGAAATATTGTCCCCAACAGCTTGATATCAACGATGAAGGTTTCATCAGACCCTTTGGTCCTGAGCTCAGAGCGTCTGGTCGGCGCTCTAATCCCCTGAACAGTCGCTGGCTGCTTCCTGAGTTCCCAACCTTCCCATTCAGGCCACCGGCGACTTTAGCCGGCAACGACGATGACCAAGCGATACTGGAAACCAGAGTGGAGAGTACGAGGTACGAGGAGGGGCTCAGACAAACAACATTTCAGCCCTCGCTTGATCCAGCAGTTAATACTCAGAATGTTGAAGAAGGTCAGACTTTCAACCAATCATCATTTAATGCGAGTTCAGATGGCATTAATGTCCATGCAGACGCTCCTATGGCCTTTCCAGCTCATACTTCGGTTTTGGATATCTTGATGGGAGAACAAAATCGCAAAAGACAAGCCCATGAAATTGGTGGGCCTGTTACTGATGCTTTGGCCCATGCTGACATTATGTGTGTTGATCAAAGTTTCTCTATTTTTTGTCCAAAAAACATGCCAGAGGCGGGTCCTGGAGCCCAGGCCCGCCTAGATCAATGAACATCTTAGTTTGGAACTGTCGTGGGCTAGGCAATCCCGCTACAGTTCAAGTATTGGTGGATCTTATCCACACTAAGAAGCCAAGCATTGTCTTTTTGATTGAGACTCTTGTTGCAAGTAATAAATTGGAGCCCATAAGGTGTAAAGTGGGCTTTGAAGGACTCTTTGTGGTCAGCAATAGAGGACACAGTGGAGGTTTAGCCTGTTTATGGAAGTTGGGCCCTATGGTGACTATTTCAAGTTATTCTGATCGGCATATTGATATGATAATATCAGAGAGCAATGGTGGTGAAGACTGGCGATTTACTGGATTCTACGGGGAACCCGACCGTAGTAATCGTCGAATTGGTTGGAATTTACTGAAGACGCTATCGGATCGGAGCAATCTACCTTGGGTCGTGGCTGGTGACTTCAATGATATACTCTATCAGAACGAAAAAAGAAGAGGTAATGCTCAGCCGAACTGGTTAATCGAGGGTTTTCGCGATGCGGTTTCGAGCAGTGGCCTTTCCGATTTTCCTTTAAGTGGCTATCAATTCACTTGGGAGAAGTCGCGTGGTACGCCGGATTGGATTGAGGCCAAGTTGGATAGAGTTCTGGTGTCTGACCTGTGGAAAGATAAGTTTAGAGATGCGGAAGCTTCCACTATTATTTCCTCTAAAAGTGATCACCTCCCGATTCTCCTTAAGGTGGCTGCGCGTACAACACACTGGTACCCCAGGAGGTTCAGATTTGAAAACTTATGGCTCCAAGAAGCTCACTGCCGAGAGGTTGTCATTGGTAGCTGGGAAGCTACGCATGGGATGGATATCTTGAATCGGGTTCTGCATTGCAATGATGCAGTTTGGAAATGGGGAAAGGTTTTTACAAGGAATTTCAGGAAAAGAATTGATTATTGGAGCAAACGTATGCAGAGCTTGAAGAAAAGGAAGGATCAGCGTGGTTGTCTTCTCTTCAAGGAGGCTCAATTCTTCCACTTAAAAGCTCTAGAACAGCAAAATGTTTATTGGAGACAACGGGCTAAAGAGTTCTGGCTCAAAGGTGGGGACCAAAACACATCTTTTTTCCATAATGCGGTTCGCAGAAGGAGGCAGAACAATCAAATTGACAGGCTCAAGGATGACAGAGGGGAATGGTGTGAGAAAGGTACTGCTCTCAATACTCTGATGCTCAATTATTTTCATGGCCTTTTCCAGGGTAACCAACAGGTTCAGACTTCGATCCTTGATTCTCTTGAGCCTGTTATTTCTCAGTCCCAGAATATTCACTTAACCAGCAGGTTCACACCTGAAGAGATAAAGGCTGCATTATTTGATATGAAACCGGATAAGTCTCCAGGCCCGGATGGTCTCCCCCCGGGGTTTTTTCAGCACTACTGGGATATTGTAGGCAAAGATGTCGTTGACTTCTGTGAGAACTTCAGATTATCTAAATCCCTCCCTCCTGGAATTAATAACACCCACATCTGCCTTATTCCTAAGGTTGCAAAACCAGAATCTATGGTTGATTTAAGACCCATAGCTTTGTGTAATGTCCTGTATAAGATCCTATCCAAAGCTTTAGCAAATAGAATCAAATCCCTGCTGAATGGTATTATTTCGGAAGCACAGTGTGCCTTTGTCCCGGGTAGATTAATTTCTGATAATTTACTCCTAGCTTATGAGTCTCACCATTACTTGAAGAGGAAAAGGCAGGGTAATTATGGTATGATGGCGCTGAAATTGGACATGAGTAAGGCGTATGACAGGGTCAATTGGAGCTTGGTTGAAGGGGTGCTAATCAAATTGGGTTTCTCTGCTGATTTTGTTGAAATGATATCTGTTTGTATTAGGTCTGTCCAGTACTCTTTATTGCAGGAGGGTCATGTGCTTGGCTCTTTCATTCCCCAGAGAGGTCTCAGGCAAGGGGACCCACTTTCCCCTTACATGTTCATCCTGATGATGGAGTGTCTCAGCAAACTTATTTCCAAAGAGGTCCAACAAGGATCTTTGCATGGGATTTCTATTTCTAGAGGGGCTCCGGTCATTTCACACTTGATTTTTGCAGACGATTGCCTACTTTTTTGTCGTGCAAATTCTCTTGAGGCAAGTATTATGAAAGATATCCTCAATGAGTACTCAACAGCCTCGGGTCAGTCCATTAACTTGAGCAAATCTTCCCTTCTTTTTAGCAAAAATGTTGACAATCTTTCTAGAGAGGTGGTGGCTGAAATTCTGGGCATTTCTGAAGGAAGTGTCCAAGGGAAATATCTTGGTCTTCCCTCCTTGGTGGGGAGAAGGAAAACAGAGATTCTTGGATTTATCAAAGATAAGGTTCTCGGTAGGATTAAGAGCTGGAACAATAGATTTCTCTCTCGGGCAGGGAGGGAGATTATGATTAAGAATGTCCTCCAAGCCATTCCGACATATGCTATGAGCATCTTCTTACTTCCGCAAGATATCTGTCACAAGATTGAGTTGGCTCTTAATAAATTTTGGTGGATTGGTCAAGCTGAAAATGCAAAGGGTATTAGATGGAGAAGGTGGGACGAGCTGTACAAACCAAAGGCAGTGGGAGGCATGGGGTTTCGAAAATTAAGGGCCTTTAACCTTGCTTTACTTGGTAAGCAGGCTTGGAGGTTCATCCACTATCCTGAGTCTTTGGTTTCTAGAGTTTTCAAAGCCAAGTACTTCAAAAATACTTCATTCATGGAGGCTAAATTGGGCAGTAACCCATCCTTTGTTTGGAGGAGTATCTTTGAGTCACAATCTCTTATCAAGGACAATTGTAGTTGGAGGGTCGGGGATGGGAGAACTATCAGTGTTTGGAAGGACCCTTGGCTACCTAACCGTTCCTCTCCTTTTATTACAACACCAATGCCGGAGTACTTGGCTGAAGCAAGGGTCCAGTCTCTGCTAGATACTAACGGTAGAAACTGGGATATCGAGCTGCTTGAGGACATCTTTGAACCTGCTGATAGAGCCCAAATTATGAGTATTCCTGTTCCTCTTGGGTGTCACACTGACAAAATTATCTGGAGGCAAGAGGATAAGGGATTGTATTCGGTCAAGAGTGCATACAGAGTATTACGTGGTGAATTCCCTTACCCACAATCTGTCAGTTGGCCTGATATTTGGAGACTGCCTATTCTACCGAAAATCAAGTCCTTTGTGTGGCAACTTTGTCATAATATTCTTCCCACTGCTGATAACCTTATCATGAAGAAAGTTGCTGCTAATCCCCTGTGTGTGTTGTGTTCCAGCCATGTCGAGACAGCTACTCATTTATTCATGCATTGTATTTTTGCCAAAGCTTGCTGGAGTGAGCTCAAAGTGGTTCCGTTTCCGGACAATCTTCTCCCACGGGATTGGCTTCAACAGACTGTGCAGAATCTTGAACCTTGCCTTTCCAGTATCATTCAGACGGTAGCGTGGCAGATATGGACTGAACGGAATAATAGGATTTGGAATGGTCTCAAAGCTTCTCATTTCACTGTTATTGTAGAGGCCAGGTCCTTCTTACTGGCGTGGCAGCAGGTCCACTATACGTCCCCATCTGTTACTAGATCTAATCTCACTCAGAAATGGGAGAAGCCTGCACATGGTTGGTTGAAGATAAATTCTGACGCAGCAGTGGACTCCAACTCTATGACTACTGGTTTTGGTTTCGTTGTAAGAGACTCGCAAGGTGCGTTCGTGGCAGCAGCAAGCTCATCATGGTCAGGAATTCTCGAACCCAGAATTGCAGAATCTATTGCCATCAGAGAAGCGCTAAGCTGGTCAAAACAGAAAGGCTTGGACACTTTTTGCGTTGAATCTGATGCTCAGCTGGTCATTCAAGGAATTAAATCTCATGGCTGCAACTCTTATTTTGATCTTGTTCTTAATGACATTTGTGATTTAGCTAGTGTTTTTTCTAACATTAGCTTTTCGTTTGTTAAGCGATCCGCGAATTCGGTTGCCCACTTGTTAGCTCGGGATGCCGTTTCTAATGCTGGTCGCAAGGAGTGGAATGTTTATCCCCCTTCCTTTGTATCTGTTGTTCTTTCGGCTGAAGCCGTTTAATGAATGATCTCTCGTTTCCTCAAAAAAAAATACAAAAATTAATTAATAAATTCTAAGATATATATATATTAAAATGTTATAAACACAAATATAGATATAGATTAATAATTAAAGAAATGAATTCAAACAATCCAAAAAATATATATATGTATGTATGACGAAAATGTTGTAATTTTGTTGTTGTATAATTTTTTACAATGATATTTATGGATGTGTAAATTTTAGTTGTAGTTTGGTTAAGCGCTAGAACCAAAACATCTAGGTAAAATGTTATTAAATCAAAAAACTTTAATTTCATTAATTGTTAAAGTTTTTTTTCAAATTTACGATGAACGATTTTTGCAGTTAGAAAATATATGTTAATCGAATTAACTAAACAATTAACTCAAATTGACGTAATATATTATAAGCAATTCAATTTCCTGCATCGATGTTTGAACTTTATAATTTATACTTTTATATTTCTAATTATATTTCTAATGGGGGAGCGTTATGTTGTGGAAAACATAATCAGATGGTGATAATCTCTCACAAGTACATACTCCTGAATTTTTAAATAGCTTGAGATTGTCTGGACTTCCTAATCATTCATTGACAATAAAGGTTGGTGCACCTGTTATGTTACTGCGGAACATACACTACTGGAAATTATAGAATTTCCGACCACCTGAAAGTGATCTTAAATCAATTCTAAAGCAAAAAGTGGTCGGAAATAGCAACAAAGGTTTTTCCGGAAACCAAAAGTGATCGGAACAAGACTTTCGACTTGATTTAAGATCACTTTCAGGTGGTCGGAAATTCCATAATTTCCAGCCGTGATAGACCATTCTCTTGGTCTTTACAACGGTACACGCCTCATTGTTACAAGATTGGCAGATCATATTGTCGAAGCAATAATAGTTAATGGAACGCAGCAAGGAACCAAAGTACTTATACCACGAATGTCTCTCACCCCTT